AAAAGCAAGCCCTCAGAAACATCGACTTCACCCTGAAACGATATAGAGTCAAGATATTTAGACATTAATTGATACATGACAGTAAAAGTAAGCCTAGATTCTTCAGCAAATGTTGGATCTAAATATAGAATTTGATTAAAATCCATATTAGTTGATGTGGTTAACCTGAGAGACGAATTTTCGGTATTGCCATAGTTTATAAGATTGATATATTAATAACCGTCATTCGCATGCAAAATTACAACCACTTTGTCCCATTTGTATCATTATAACTCTGAATATCTTTCAATTTGAATAATTTGTCTATAAATATTTCTAAAATCTGATCAATAAATTCAAGACCAATTTTGATAAAAAGCATTCCATGTAATCCGATATACAAGCTCTCAATTGATTATTCAGATTATTACATCGTTTATTTGAAGAAAGTAAAGTTTCACGTTGCATGTAAGTACAGCTTTTTTGCTTTTGTTTTTTATTGCTTGTTACGAGAGTTGCAAAACGTTTACGATTTGATTCGAATAACAAAATAAGTGGCTCACAAGCGGTCATATAGGGTGTATCAAGCATAAGGCTTTAAATGAAGTATGGAATTCTTATAATAATGAATAAATAATTCAGTTGATACTGTCTAAATACTTAATTTTTTTAAAAAATTTTATAGTAAAACAGTTATTTTTTTGAAATTTGATTGGTTATTACTGCCTAGATGCATAAAATTAATTTTTTTTGGTGTCTACCGATGGTATGCATTTAGACAGTATCAACTGTATAACATTAAAAGATTACACTAATAAATATATAAGCGTACCTTCTACAATAATAATATGACGTTTTAGACTCATCTTGTCACGCAAGAATAGCCAAGTGATTATAAAATTTTCCTAGAATTAAATAAATAAATATAAATATATATAAAATATAAAGTGTTATTTTATGGACAATTTTTTTTAAAAAAATCATCGTCGTTGCATATCAACATGAATTTTTATTTTTCCTAAAAAAAATTTCAAAAAAGTAATAGAAATCTTATTTATTAAAAAAAAAAACACAGTTACAGTACATAATGAATGTTTTCTACATAATAAATGAACACTAAACTATAACAAACTAACAAAAGTTACATTATTGCATAAAACATCTATGCACAAAAAAATCAAACCCATAAAGAAACCTAACAAATATCAAAAGTACCAAAAAATAATAAAGCATTAACAAATTTAAAACCATTAAGAAATAACAAAAAAATTCTAAGAAATGACAAAGCATTAACAAATATTAAAAGTTTTAAAAAATGACAATATATTAATAAATGATAAAAGCTTCAAGAAATAATAAAAATTTTAAGAAACATCAAAAGTATCAAGAAAGGATAAAACATTAATAAATATCAAAAGGATCAAGAAACAATAAAGTATTAATAAATAATGAAAGCTTAAAAAATAATAAAAGTTTCAAAAAATAATAAAGCATTAACAAATATTGAAAGTGTCAAAAAACAACAAAGTATCAACAAATAATAAAAGCTTCAAGGAATAACAAAACACTAATAAACATTAAAAACATTAAAAAATAACTAAGTATTAATAAATAACAAAAGCTTTAAATATTAAAAAACAACAAAGCACTAACAAATATTAAAAGCATTAAAAAATAATAAAGCATTAACAAATAATAAAAATTTTATAAAACAAAAAAAGTTTCAAAAAATAATAAAGTATCAACAAATATTAAAAGTATCAAAAAATAATAAAGTATTAGCAAATAATAAAAGTTTTAAAAAATAATAAAATATTAATAAATATTAAAAGCATTAAAAAATAACTAAATATTAATATACAAAAAAGTTTTAAAAAATAATAAAGTATTAACAAACCTCAAATATGTAAAAAATAATGAAGTATTAATAAATAATAAAGCTTTAAAAAATAATAAAGTTTCAAAAAATAATAAAATATTAACAAATATCAAAAATAATGAGAAATAATAAAATACTAACAAACAACAAAAGCTTTAAGAAATAACAAAAGTTTCAAAAAATAATAAAATATTAAAAATAACTAAGCATCAACAAATAATAAAAGTTTCAAAAAATAATAAAAATTTCAAAGTTTCAAAAAATAATAAAGTATTAATAAATAATAAAAGCTTCAAGAACTGATAAAAAATTTAAAAAATAATAAAGCATTAACAAATAATAAAAGTTTTAAAAAATAATAAACATGATATTATTAACAAACAATAAAAAATTTTATTATAAAAAAAATTTAAAAAACAAATAAATAATTTTATATAATAACTAATCTTAAATTTAATTAATTAATTATATAAGAATTATTGTTATAATAAGTTGTTAATATATTTTTATTTAAAATATAAAATGTAACTACAAATAAAAATATTAAATTATTATATTATTATTAGATTTAAACAAAATATCTAAATATTATTAAAATATATTTTTTGTTCAAAATTATTTATTTTTTTCTTAATTTTCTAAACAATATAACTAATGTTACAAAGTAGATTTTAGCATAATATATTATATAGTAGTTATATTTATATATTTTTTATTATATTTTATATCTTATATTTATTATTAGTTATTAGTCATTAGTTAGTCAATAGTTATATTATATAGTAGATAGATAAAAGGATCTTAATTAGCTATTAGAAATATGGTACAGCCATATAACACTAAGTAATATCTATAATATTACTATTGTCTTACAAACCCCAAGTACTCTTATACAAGTTTCATGTATTCTAGCATCAAATTACTATGTCAAATGTCACAGCACAAGAATCTCAAGTATTCTTAACACAAACTTCAAGTGTTCTTGCACAAATTTCAAGTATCTCTATACAAATCTCAAGTGCCTTTGCACAGATTCAAGTGCCTAAACACAAGCTCCAAGTGTTTCAAGTATAAATAACAAATAATATAAACAATATCTTCAGTTGTCTTTGCACAGTTTCTACTACTCCAAGTATAGTAATATTTAATGTTATTCAAATCTTCATTGTTTTAAGTACAATAATATCTAATATTGTTCAAACCCTTATTATCCCAAGTACAATATCAAATAATGTTGCTCAAATTCCTACTATTCTTGCTAAGTAAAAAGATATATAAAGGGTAGTTTTTATCATTTTCTGCTAATTCTAAGTTCCTATACTTTAATCTAGACCTTCCTACCTTTACTTCTAACTTGTAAAAGTGATATTCCTTTTCTAGAATAATTTCTACAGGCAAGGTTGTCACTATGTGGTTAGTTAATAAAGTTAATTTATATATTGTTACTATCTCAAACTGTTTGTCTGCTACTATGTAATAAAGTAAACTACTACACCTTTATCTCATATATATTTGCAATAGTCAATTACTGTATCAGGTGATCTTGTTACTTGGTTGTATTGTACCAAGAAGACTACAATACTGTAACATTTTGGTGCCTTCTAGCAGAAAGCTAAAAAATTATTTTAGAAAAGCTAATAGTATTTCAAGAAAGGAACAGAAACCTCTCTCAAGAAAACTACCCTAGAAAGCAATTCTCTCTTTAGAAAAGATTTTTATTTTAGAAGCAGCAATTGTGAAAAAGCATTTTGAAATTTTGGAATTATTATTTTAGATATACCTCTACTAACTCAAATTGAATTGAATTATTTTGTATTTTGCATTTGTATTTTGTATTTTGGAATTGAAGAAGTTTATGCTTTTATCTTTTATCTTTGAATTTTTAATTTTTAAAATAATCTTAATTTTGATTTTTATTTTTGATTTTTAACATTACTTACTGGTTGATAAATATATTTTGAATTGTTTAACTTTTGATTGATTACTTGAATTCTTTACTTGCTAGCACTATTATTTTAGATTTATTCTCTTAATTTTAGTATTTTATTTTATTGTTTTATTACTTATTAGTACTAAACCTTCTTGAAGAAATTTATTTTATAAGAGATTTTCTCACTCAATTTTATTTAGAAAATATTTGAAAACATTAACAAATTTATAGTAAAAACCCTTCTTTTGCTACAACTGTATTGCAAACCTTTGCAATTGATTTATCTTGTCTATAGTATTATCTGCCTCCTAACCTTTATAGATACTTTGCTGCATTTTGAACTTGGTATTCTGAAGACTACCAAGCTATTTATTTTAGTAAAGTTACTCATTCCAACTTTTTAAGATTAGCTATTGCTGGATGCTCAGCTGCCTGAGTTGCAGCTAGAAATATTATTTTTAGTTGTTGTTATCAGAACCAGATAACTAACCCTTAAGATATTATACAAAGCATCTTTCAAGAATATACTTTTCATTATTCAGTACTATCAATTACTGCTAACCAAAGGACTCCATTCAATATTTTTATTGATAACCCAGTTAGAGCTCAACAACATATTAAAGCTTTACAAGCTGCTGCATTAGAATTAGCACAAGGTTTTAAGAAAGAAACTAGTATATCTACTTCTTAGCAAACATTACAAGAAACTGTTATTACTGTAGAAAAGTCTGCTGCAACTTCTACTTATCCTATTACTACTGTTGTTACTTCTATTCGAGCTCCAATACCTATTGTAGACCTTAGCTCTTTAGCCCCATATAGTAGAGACCTAACTAGTAAACATTACATCTATTATCAACTAAATAATCTACCAAGAATAGGTGAATTATCTTCTTTTTTTATTCAACCAAAAGTTTTACAAAAAAGAAAAATTATCAGAGAACCCTTTTATACTCCAACTTAACTTTTTATCTCTCTCAAGTTTCAACCTTAACTATACCAAGACTAGTTAATAGATTTGCTAAATTTGTAACCAAAGGACTTAATCTTCTTTCATCTTATTTTGGTATTAAATCAAGTCTAAAAGAAACTTTATCTACAACAACTAAAAATCTTATTACAACAACTAAAAATCTTATTACAACTAAGAAAGACATCTCTTTAACTTTTAACTTATCAGAAGCAACTAGTTATTCTAAAATTATAACTACACAACCTATTATTAAAATATCATTTAATTATCACTGATTTATTGATCTTGAAAACTTTGTCTGAGACCTAGAAACTTATACTCAAGAGAACACAACTTTAACTATTAAAGATCTTAATCTATTAACAGAATAAAACTACCCTGAAGAAACAGAAATTTTAGAAGAACAACCTCTATCAGAAAAAGAAGAACCAGAAAGCTCAAACAAAACTATTATTAACGAACTTGACTCTGAAGATAAATAAGCTATGAACAATGCTGTTGCTGCAATGAATAGACTAGTTGATACCTTTGAAGCTGCAAAGAAATTACTCTTTAAAATTGTATTATTTAAAGGTAATAGAACTAAAGATTCAGTTGACTGGATTAATGAATTTAAATGAGCTGCTATTATTAACAGATAGACTGAATCTAGAAAACTTACAATTACCCAAGCATATATGAAGAACAATGCAAAAGATTGGCTTAAAGAACTTGGAGATGACTATTTTCAGTCATATAGTAAAGGTAATAATCCTTGATTTAAACTTCGATTCATAAAGCAATTTAAAACA